GCAGGAGTCATTTCAAGTCTTCACTGTTTTCTAGCAGTAACCTGGTATCATCTGCATATCTCAGATTCTTAATGTTCTTTCCACTCAAAGGTCATTTCGGGGGGGAACGCGGGGGAACGCAGTTCCCCTGGGTGAGGTGCAGGGGGCGGGGCACACGATGAAGCCCCGCCCCCTGCTTCTGGCCGCCCCACTTCCAGCCCTCATTCAGCCAGGAAGAGGCAGGAGAAGAGGGAGGGTAAGTTGCTTCCTCCCCGCCTCTCCCTACCCTTGCCTGCCTGGGGCCAGGGAGGGCCTTGGCGGGGCTTCCTCGCACTTCTGCCAGCCTTGCAGGTCCACCGCCGGGCCCCTGATGTCAGGGGGTGTGGCATATGCTAATGAGTTATGCTAATGAGTCCCCCTAGCTCTTTTTCTACGAAATGACCCCTGCTTCCACTCATTTTCACTCCAAGATGTCTTATATCTCTTTGAGCAGTGATGCCTCACCCTCTCTCCATACTTTATTTAGCTGGAGTCATATTACGGCCTCGCACTGTTCTTCCCCATTCTTGGTCTTCTTTTTATAAAAAAACACTCTACTCTTAAGATACCTGTGTGTGCAGTTCTTACTTCTCTTGTTGATGGGCTACACTGGGGAAGATAAGGTTACATGGGATTTTTGTTTGTGATTGTATGTGGGAAAACACTTTTACATTTTTAATAGGGGGGAAAGTGTGGAATGCAAAATAGGGATTCCTAATGACTACTGGGGAGAGCTTTGCATCTTTTAAATAATTATGTTCCTTGGCTCCATCATCAACCCAAAGGGAGGCTACAACCAAGAAATCAGGCGATTGAGACTGGAAAGGTCGGCCATGAAGAAGCTAGAAAAGATCCTTAAGTTTGGGCTGTGTTACTGGCAACCAAAATCAAGATCATTCATACCATAGTATCCCCCCATTACTATGTGTGGGTGTGAAAGTTGGACAGTGAAGAAAGCTGAGAGGGGGAAAACTGATTCATTTGAATTTTACAAAATTCAAGAAATACATTTTCTTGAAATGAGGGAAAACATTCCTTGTGTCAGTTCAGTGAGGCAACCAACAAAACTGGCTGGAGAAAAAGAACCCAGTCCTCTCCTGTTCAGGGCACATTATATGATCTGTAAATTCTGTGTTTGGGAAATATTAGTGTATTAGAGTGCCGTCTTAAAGAGAGCTGACTTCAGTGGGTTGACAAGGGTGTAACTCTCGTTCACAACAGCCTTCTTAGTGTACAAAAGATACCAGGTGCCCAGTGACAAAGTGTCTTCAATATTTAGCTTATAATGTTATTTATTTTAAAAGTCCATGGCATCTTTCTAATTTGCTCCTGAATGTGTGGAATTATTCACGGATTTGAAAACTGTATGTAAAGGCTGTAGTTATGGAGCACGTGACTTCAAGCGCAGGGGAGGCACAGCATAGAAAATGGAAAAACACAAAACCCAAACCATATTGCTAATGCACAAGAACATTTTATTGTTACAACATTAAAGCATTTTTTCTTTTCCTTACAAGTGTAACTGAACTTAAACAAAAAACCCACGCACATAAATACCTCTGGGGGCTGCACCCATTCTCAGGCCTTCAGCTGACTACCATTGGTACAGAGGCCTTTCTGTTCGAGCACTAACTCCTCAGGTTGGCACCCACTGATAGGGAGGGGCCATGGCTCAATGGCAGAGCACTGGCTTGGCACGAAGAAGGTCCCAGGTTCAATCCCCGACGTCTCCAGCAATGCTCCCTCTAAGCTGTGGAGTCTTGTGAGCAACAGTCTACTTTGTGAGCTCCTGCCATTAAAGTTGTGAGCAAGCGATTTGGCTGCTGCATAAATTAGTTTGCTCTGGAGCCATCCTTCCCGAGCCAAGACAAAAATCTGTGAGCCAGAGGCTAAAATACTGTGAGCTAGCTCACTCTAACTCAGCTTAGAGGGAACACTGGTCTCCAGTTAAAAGGACCAGCTAGTAGGTGATGTTAAAGGCCTCTGCCTGAGACCCTGGAGAGCTGCTGCCAGTCTGAGTAGACAATACTGATCAGAAGGCAGCTTCACATGTCTGTGAAAGGAACAATTCATCTTGGCTCACCTGTCACAGATTGCTCTGCACAGGGGTAATTTCCTAGAAAAAGAGGTGCAGGAGCTCATTAGCATAACTCATTAGCATAACTTATTTGCATACGCCATACCCCCCATCACCGGAAGTGTGTCAGAAGGCAACACCCACCGCTCAGGCTCCACTGGACTGTTTTGGGTTGCTAGCTATTGGGGGGGGGGGGGAACGTGCAGATCTGTCGTCGCAGAGGAGGGAGAGCTTGTACCTGAATAAAACCTGGTCTTAAAGGTGCCACTGGACTGTTCTGGACCTGGAGGCGGGGGGGGGGGGCTCTGCAGCTTACCTGGCTGCTTCTTGCTCTGACTGAGGGCTGCTGGGAGCAGGGGGTGGGGCTTGTTGCATGTGCCCGCCCCCTGGGCTCTTTACTGCTGGAGCTCCGCTCCTCTGCGCTCCTGCAGGAAATGACCCCTGGCTCTACAACCTCTCGTGGTTGTCTAATCCACAAGTGCCACAAAGTTTTATGGGAATCCAAACATATGACTGCAGAAAGGGGCCTGGGCAGGCGGGGGGAGTGAGTACTTGTGGGGTGTTCTGGTAGTTGATGGGCAGAAACAGCCAAGAGTGCCCTGACCCCTGGATTCTGAGGTCTGCACTGAGTCAGTGTTGGGTTATTAGTGAAGCAAGAGATGTAATAAAGCAGAGCAAACAGGGTGGGGATGCATGCCTACCCTTTGGCTCCCTGGCTGTTTGGAAACACAGAAAGCCACTGAGAATTATCCTATTGCAATACAACTAGTTTTCTTAAACTGACCTTCCAGTAACCTTGCCTTTTTACATATTCTGGAGCCGGCTGTGAGGATTCCAGCTTCATTCATCTAAAATAAATAACAGTATGCAATCCCATGCCTAGTTATTCACGCCTCAGCCCTCTAAAATCAGCAGGTTTAAACTGCGGGAATTTTGCCTGGGATTGCATTGTCCCAGTCTTTGCACTGACGGGTTTGTTTTTATTCCTCCCATAAGAAAAAGGGAAAATTCGTTGCAATTCATATGATTTTGCGTTGTCTGTCTTCTTTCATCCTGAGGACTTTTTTTTAAGAGTAAAAGAATCCGCGTTTAGTAGATTTTCCTTAATCCGGATTAAATTCTCATTTTGCCCGCGGCGGGCGGCCCTCCTAATCGCAGACTGGACGGCGTTCAAACACGCCACCGCCGCAACAACAGCCGCTCCCCCTCCCTCCCTCCCTCCCTCCAGGCCTTGGCAACCTTTCCTTTCCCTCCACCCACCCATCTCGTCCGCGCACAAATTCGCTCGCTCCGCGCACGCAGAGCCGTCTCCCACCCCTCTCGTTCTTCGGGGCGGACGGGGAGGGGGGGCTCACTCGTTTTATCTGCCGCCCCCACTCCCTCCTTCGGCGCAGGCGCCCTCTCCAAGTATGCACCTGCTCCCCTACCGTTTAACCCGTGCATTTGCAGCGGCCGGCGCGCTTGCTTCGCTCTGCGGCGCCGCCAGTCCCGTTATCCCGAGGGAGGAGGAAAGGGAAAGCCCGGCAGGATGTCCTGCTGCTGCTGCTGCTGCAGCTGAGAGAGGCGAGACTGAGATGCCGCCGCCGCCGCGCCCTGGCTGGAGGTGAGCGCACGCCGTGGGGGAGTCCCCCTCCGTGCGCCCCAGCGATGTTCCCGGCCCGCGAGGCCGCGCAGCCGGGCGGAGCCCCGGCGAGCCCGGAGGCCCCTCCACCGGCACCGCCCGTGGCCGAGCTGAGCGACGCCGAGCTGGGCGGCTGCAGCAAAGAGGAGCTGGTGCGCCGCCTGCGCCACGAGGAGGCCGAGAAGCTGGCGGCGCTGGTGCAGCGTGGCCGCCTGATCCAGGGCGTCAATCGGCAGCTCCAGGAGCACCTCCGCGAGATCCGCGAGCTGAAGGCCGTCAACGGGCGGCTGCAGGCCGAGAACCGCGAGCTGCGCGACCTGTGCTGCTTCCTCGACGAGGACCGCCTCAAGGCCAAGCGGCTGGCGCGCCACTGGCAGCTCTTCGGGCACCACGCGGCGCAGGTGCTGCGCGACGAGGTGGCCGCCTGCCTGCGCAAGCTGGCCGGCCTGGAGGGTCTGCAGGAGCGCCTGGCCAAGGACAACCTGGAGCTCAAGGAGCTCTGCCTGGCCCTCGAGGAGGAGTGCGCCTCCGTCCGGCCCGACGCCACCCCCAGCCCCGGCGGCGGCTCTTCGGAGCTCAGCCTGCCCTGCGGACCCCGCGACCTGGGCGACGGCAGCTCCAGCACCGGCAGCGTCGGCAGCCCGGACCAGCTGCACCCCGCCTGCTCCCCCGACGACTAAGGGGCAGCCTTTCCAGCCCACCCGTGGGCCGCGGCGGCGGGGCTTTCCCAGTGGGAGGCGCTGGCTGGCCCATCCTTGCCTGGGGGAAATGGACGCAAGCTGTGCCGCACAGCAGGCCCCCTCGAGAAAGCCGCTCGGCTTGCCTGCCTTTCTTTCCCACCCCGTCCCAGTAGCTGAAACCCGAGGATTTGGTGGAGGGAGGTGGTGGTATTCTCACCATGATTTTAAAAAAGACACAGGGGCACATGAACGTTGCTATATTTGTGCTCTGCTGAATGCGGCCAGTTTTTGATGTTACACTGAACTCTTTTTGTAAAGCCATAATGCAAGACGGGAAGCAAAGTTCTGTTATGGTAACAGACGAAGGCCCATTGTCGGTCACCGTCTTGTTGGACATCCCTGTGGATCAAAATGGGAGGTGCTTCCTGATTTTCAGCTATTCCCAAGACGCGTACAGACACACAGCTCTGGACCAGGGTACATCTCAGCCCAGCCATTCTAGGACATGGGAACCTGCATGTTCAGATATTTCGGGAATGTCCCCCAGAATTGGAGAGAGGCATTTTTGCAGCAGTGAATGTCTATCGTTTAAGGTAGCAACCTTTGAGATTTCACAGAAGTCTTCATATCTTCTCCGTGAATGCAGTTGCCATGGTTAGACTTTGGGAACCCTCGGGGCCATGGACTTCTCCCTGCTGACCTCAGTGATGAGGGATCCCAAGCGGAGTGCAGTTTTCCCCGCTACCACAAAAAGACTGAACTTCCCGTATGCAAATTACAGAGGGGTAGCAATGTTATTCTGTTAAGGGTCCAAACTTTAAAAAAAAAAAGTGTCTTTGGTCATCTTAAAGACTAACAAAAAGTTTCTGCCGTAATAAACCTGCAGACCTTTAAGGTACCACGAGATTCTTTTTTTTTTAATGCACTGGATTGTGGGAGGGAAGAGAGGTGGGGAAGGCAGCATCAATGACTCCAGCTGCTTGGGAAGCAATTATATATCTGTGGCAGTACCGAGTAAAGGAAAAGGAGGAATTCTGAATGTTGTATGATTTATGCTGGGGGGGACCGGACTGAATTTGGCTGGTGATTTTCAACTATTTGGAGGAGGAAGCAAGAGATAGAGAGCTTCCTCCAGACCTCTACCCTGTTGTATTTTATCCTACCCCAGCTCTGGTTTTTATACCACATGCAGAAAGACCCCACCCCTGATGGAGCCTTGCCGAGGAACTAAAGGTGCATGGGGTGAGAGATCCAGATAAGTCACTGTAAAGGGCAAGAGATTCCCTCCTGTTAAAAAGATGCAGCCAAACTTGTTTGAATAATCTCTTGTGAGAGGAGAATCCTAGATGCAACAACTGCCCCCTCACAATACTTGAAGGAGCTTATGTAGGGGTAGGGACCTCCAGAAGAATGGTCTCCAGTTTTAGAGAATGCCCTGTACTCCTCCCCCCTAGGAAATAAGTGGAAGGGGGGCATAAACGAACAGAGCAGTGGTCCATCCATTCCAGCATCCCATTTCACACAGGAGCCAACCAGTTGCCCTGGAGGCGGACAAACAGGGCATAGAAAGCCCAAGGCCTTCCCCCCTCTTATGTTACCTCCTAGTACTGGGCTTCAGGTGTTTGTTGCTCACCATGGCTTGTAGCCATTGATGGATCTTTTCTGCATGACTCTGGCTAAGCCCCTCCTAAACCCATCTGTGCTCCTGGCCCTCACTGTGTCCCCTGGCAGTGAATCCCACAGTTTAATTACTCATTGAGTGAAGAGATGTTTTCTGTTGTCTGCCTGGAATCTGTTGCCCATCCTTGAGTGCCCTCACAATCTGTTATTATCAGAGAGGGAGAAAAAGTCCTCTTGATCTACTCTCTCGGCCCCGTGCACAATTCTGTACACCTGGTTGCCCCCTTCTGCATTTCCCCCCAACTCTGCAACATCCTTTCTGCAATATGGAGACTAGGCATCTTTCTCTCTGCTGCTCAGATGACAGCAGCTGCCCAACAATTCAATTTGGACTGAGATTTTCAAAGATGGCAGCCCTAGGGGGAAAAAAAACCCTCCACTTCAACTGCAGGGCGTATGGCTGAATGTTTGCCAGAACTGAATTTGTGTGCCTATGAAGATTTATGTCCTAGGGAGGTTAACTGTGTCAGTCACACACACACACACAGAGGATGCAAACTGTTGGAGGGATGCCTTTTATCAGATCGACTGCTGTTGGTGAAAGTAGTAAGTTTTTGGCCTGCACTGAACTCTTCTTGTGGTCAGTGAAACATGCTTGGAAGTCCAGAGAATCAGTCATTGTATTGTTTCCTAGAGACAGCCTTGGATAGCAGGAAATTGAGGGCTGGGAAACGGCTTCCTGTTCCCCCTCAAGGACTCCCAAGATCTCTCTTCCAGGATACAGCCAAACCTGGGGTGGAGCGGAGGCAATATCCTGTTGTCTTGTGGGTTGGGGAATGCAGTGTGTGACTCTCATGGTATCTGCTACCCCAAAACTGGAAGTGTGGCAAAATGATCCCCAAGAAGTGTGGGTGCAAGAAATCTCCTTGGGAGTCTGATAAATGTTTTACATGGGGGGGAATCACTTTCGTCTTCTCTGAAAAGTGTTTTGCTTCTGGAGTGGGTGGGTGCCTTAAACTCTGCAATTATCAGCAAGCTCCTTATTTACCCTCCAGTTGCTCCAATCCAGAGATTAACTCTTTAGCAATCAGTGATTCTTCATTTCCAAACTGGGAGGTGCAGGGACTGAAACCCAGGGTGAGAGCTGGCAGAGGTTGTTCGGTGGGGATTGTGCATTCTGTATATGCTCAGGGGCACTTTGTTCCAAAACCTAAAAGGAGTTTTGCTTTGACTTGAACAACAGTCTTGGGAAGAATTCCCTGTGATTAATCCATCTAAATGTTGAGAAATGTCCCGGGGGGGGGGGGTACGTATTTTGTTGACAATGTCAGCTGTAGAATTTGTATTCTTGCAAGTACTCAGGGAGGGACAAAGAAAGAAATGGACGCTGAGACTCTTTTTACTCCAGTGCTAAACTTAATATTGACATACTGAGGTTGGGAGGAGGCAGCCAGGCATGCTGGGGGTGGGGGTACGGGATGAGGGAGAAAATAATGTGGGCGGGGGATTTGCTCCATTCTTCCAATTTCATTTCCGTGAGTGGAACTTTTGCTGATTATCTGAGATTAATTCCCCCTACCATCAAAACCAGGCAATGGATTTTAAAAAACATTTCAATATATTTAATACAATTTGCCAAAAATAAATTGTAAAATAAATCAACAGAATGCATCCTGCACAACCCCGCCATGCATCGTTAACAGCTGCCCCCCCCAACCTCCCTAATTCTTGTCTTGCCTGTATGCAGATTTAATGGATTAAAAACCAATTGACTGCACAGCCCAACCCTATTCAGGATTACTAAGCATGCTGAGTTCCGTAGGCTTTACACCAAGGTAAAGATACATAGGAGCTGCATTGTAAAGACTTGTGTACTCATATGCAATATGCGTCACCAAATTGAGAGCTTGGAGTTGCTGGGCGGTGGGGCAGGGGTAACTGTTCCACAGAAGGAAGAAATCTTGCAAATTCGGCGTAGGCCCCTCAGTTCACCTACAAAAGGTTGTATGCAAAACTAGTAGCAGAAAACTTCTGCTGGACTGTAGCTTGTTGATCCTGGAACTGTTTTGACAATATTCTGCACACACGACATGGAGGAAAGTATGGCCTAACGGGCAGCTCTTACTGATAACTTAGTGGTCACGTGGATCTTGGTTGATTTGGTGTAGAGCCAGTTTGGTGTAGTGGTTAAGTGCGCGGACTCTAATCTGGGAGAACCAGGTTTGATTCCCCACTCCTCCACTTGCACCTGGCTGGATGACCTTGGGCAAGTCATAGTTCTGATAAGAGCTGTCCTTGAATGGGCAGTCCTTGAAAGAGCTCTCTCAGCCCCGCCTACCTCACAGGGTGTCTGTTGTGGGGAGGGGAAAGGAAAGGAGTTTATAAGCCGCTCTGAGACACCTTTGGGTAGTGAAGGGCGGGGTATAAATCCAATCTCTTCTTCTTCTTCTTGATTTGCTGTGACAAAGGTGCTGTTTCCTACTGGGCTGGCGGGCCCCTCTTCACTCCTACCAGTGCGCCCAGCTGAGAACCGGAATGTAGAAGTACAGCAAAATCAAGCGTGGGGAGGCCTCTCGGGCTTCTTCCGCCCCAGCCAAACTGCAGACAAAAGGGCTCCAGGCCAGGAAGCAGGTGTCCGGATCCTGGTTCCCTGATAACACACAGCCAAAATCAACAAAACCTGGACATGCACTCTCTTGCCCTGGCTTACTCGAAGCTGGCTTTCCCCAGACTTAAAAGGAGGGGGGGGGTCATCTCTGGTGTTCTCCTCTGCTGAGATATGGGAGGAGCTTCAGTAACAACCGTAATCCATTCTCGTGGCTCACAGCCAAAAGTTTTCCTGCTTTACAGTCATTAATTAAGTGCTGCCAAGTTACAGCTGACGGCGAGCCCTGGTGGGGTTTTCTAAGGAAGAGGTGAGCAGAGGTGCTTTGCGATTGTGTCCCTCTGTGTAGCAACCCTGGACTTCAGTGGTGGTCTCCCATCCAAGTACTAACCAGGCCCCTGACCTGGATAGCCAAGGCTAACCCAATCTCGTCAGATCTCGGAAGCTAAGCTAGTGTTTGGATGGGCGACCTCCAAAGAATACCAGGGCTGTGACGCAGAGGCAGGTAGTGGCAAACCACCTCTGAAATGTCTCTTGCCTTAAGAAAAACAAGTCTCGCTCGCCACCTAGTGGTGCATAACACTAAAACAGCTAGAACTGCTGGCTGCCAGACAATCTTAGGATCTCCTGGCTATACTATACACAGTGCTGAACAACAGCAGCGACTAACCAGGGCCAACCCCGCTTAGCTTTGGCGCTCTGACAAGCTCAAACTAGTTCGTCATTCCCATGGGAAAGAATACTGAGAAAGATGTTATGAAACTGGGAAGAGATAGTCAGTCTATCCAGCTTGATTTCTATTGGTAGCAAGGAAGGGTTGTTCTGTACATGCTCAAGA